TATTTTTTTTTTTTACTTTCTCTCGCTTCTCCCTCCGTCGCGTTCAAGATGAGATGCGTGTGTATACGTTCGGAGCACGTTCGTTACATCCTGGACTAGAAAAAGCGACTGTCTCTCTCTTTCCCGTCCGCGCCGTATGCAGGTATCCCCCGAGTCTCTCGGCGTACGGCGTACGTATTTTTATTCGTTCGCGAGTGACGAATTGACCAGGTGCAAAGTAGAGTGATTTTCAGTCGAAGGACACGGATTTTCGCGGATCGCCTCCGATTCGCTGTTCCTCGGATGGTACTGACGTAGTACAAACATGCTCTGCCGTTTTTCTATTTCTTTTTTTTTTTTTTTTCGCTTTCCGGTCGCGCCAGAGCCGGCTAACTGCGGTGCTGATTACAGCCTGTGAGCGAATCTCTTCTGAGATTCGGTCGGGTCAACTGACACTGGCGAAACTGGCCATTAGCACGTTTTTTTTTTTCCCCGCTATACGAACATGCTTCTCTTATGTTTCTTTTTTTTAAGCGTACACGCGACACAGTGCGTGCCGAGTGTGCACGCGTGAGTCTCTGTGTAATGGTATATATGTGGTGGTGATACTTGTTACGCAGATTACACAACGTCTCTTCTATATACATATTATAATTTGATCCCGCTGTATACAATAGTGAACACAACTAAAAACTTAAGACTGTACAATTGAACGGCGCGCGTCTCACGGGACTCCGCGTACGGCGGAGTCACGCTTGTTCTTCGAATGTTCTTCGTCTAATTACCGTCTACGTATCTCCTAGACTTAACTCGCTTTCCGTCTTTTTTTTTTCTTTTGCAATGCAATTTTGCTTCAATGTGTGTATATAATGGTATATATTTATAATAATAGATACATGTATAATCGTATATCACACTCTTTCCAGCATTTGCTCCTATTTCCCCGGTGGAGACGAGTCTCCGTTGCACGCACGCACGTACGCACGCACGCACGCACGCACGCATGCACACACAGTCATCACATCTTTTACTTTATACACAATTTGATATATTTCGTTCCCTAGAAATCGTCGCTTCGTAGACACTACGCTCGTAAAACCTTTTTTTTTTTGCCTGGAGCAATCGAACGAAGTGCTTACCCGAGATTTCGTGGTCGTCGTTACATTCGACGTGATTTACTCAAGAGCGACTATTACGAACCCGCATAGATCGTGAGAATCGTGTAATATGTCATATATAATATGCGCTACTTCGTCAGTCGTTCGTTTCGGGCACAGATCCGCTGTACGAATCATAATTATATGTAATTCTTAATATAATATCTCCGCTCGTTTTATTGGCCATTCACCGATAATGTCGCGCGATACTACTACGATTGGTACGATATTATTAGTTGTCCTAAAAAGGTCTTGGGCCTAAATGGACTCGCTTGTCACAAATCCGCTTTATTATTCGTTTCGATTATTATCGTGAGACGTTCGAAAACTTATACCGCGACTCGAACAATATGTTTCGTGAAGGAACTGAACGAATCCGCTAAAGTGAAATAAATATAAAGCGATTTGCAAAACGAACTATTAGGAACAAATTTTGCTATATATTTATTAGTAATATAAAATAACGATTCATTTCAGTCTCTTGTACGCGATCGTAATTTACAAGCATCGATGCTTATGCATTTGTTCCAATCATTTTCGGCCGTGATAATGAAACATTGACAATAATTTAGGACATTTAATGATACCATATACATATGATAGGACTTTAATTAATTAATCGAGAAGCATGCGAAACAACGGAAGATTCCAGTTCGAGATGGAAGCTCGAAAGCGGCAAAACAGTGTGGAGTGACGCATCTCACGTTCCTAATGTCATAATGATATAATTATTACGAGCTCGAGTCCGTCCTGCGTTGACTTCGCGAAACTTTAGAATGGGTACGGGCACATCGAACAATTACCATGTCTAAAAGTAGCCTAACGTTATACAATATACTATACAATATAATTTTTTTTTTTTTTCGTCAAATCCTCTGCATATCGCGAAACGCTCGTGATAATACCGAAGGGGGGGGGGGGAAGGGCGCGTCAAATCACAAATTGCTAATTAACACCAGGAAGCTATGAGTAAATATGTAAATGAGTAGTAAAGCGAAGCGGCGGCGGAGAGTCTCACGGTGCGTTTAATCGATAATTAATTCCGGCGCAATAAAGTATTGTGTGTTACGTCACTCGGACGATTAATGACAACAGAAGAAGCGACGTAACAGTAATAGGAGATAAATCATGGAAATATCGTCGGGCTTCCTTTCTTTCACGTATTCGTAGCAAGCGAATTATAGCATGCTCCCGGATTTCGAAGACACGTAATTAAAATCTGTACATGCCTACATATATATGTGTGTATATATATGTATAAGTAATGTTAATTATCGACGATTAATTTCGTTACTCGTAATGCTATATCCTCGCGGATAGTAGTGGCGATATAGCGTGTTACATATAAGAAAATAATGATTAATAGTAAATTGAAATTATTATTAGCGATCGTTACTTCTTAATATCAGAGAGATCTAAGTAAGACAGTGGTAGTTTAATATCACAATAAGACTACTCAGGCCTCGTTTAAACTGGGGCACGCTTCACGTATTAATGTTACTCCTCGCCTTGACGCTTCGTTATTAATCGCGACCCTGTGTTGGCGACCACAGGTCTCGGACGACTCAGGCGCGACCGTAATTCGATGGTGATCCCGACGCAGTTGTCGAGCGAATCGTTGTTTCTTTTTTTTTCTTTTTTTTTTCTTCTAGTATGTGTCGCCTCGTTCTTCGCTTTTTCACGCGCATCACATTGCGACGACCGGTGATGTCGTGCTCTGTAATCGCGTCGCTTGCGTACTCGCGTAAGTGTCGAAAGTATAATGCTATTATGCGCTCCTAACAGTATACGTTTCGACCGCGTTCACTAGCGCGATCATTTTCTTCATCACCGCAGGCCGGGTGACGAAACGTCGCTCGCCGCGACCTATATATGACGTTTACAAACTTTCGATTATAATTCTTTTACATCTATGGCCGAGATTCCGTGACTGTTAACGTTGCGCACTTCGCGCGAGATTAAACGCTCGAACCGTATAAATACGATGGTCCGTAATCGAAAAGTGATACGGCATACACTTACAATTGCTAGTTATCCTCGTCGTGGGCAGCAGGTCTACATTGTTCGCAAGCAACTACGATAATGCGCGCACACGAATCCATTGATTACCTGAGTGACATCCCCTCGAGAGCGCGCGAAAATCTCGCGCGATCGCTCGTTATCCGGCATGCCCGCGCGCGCGCGCGCTCTCTCTCTCTCTCTCTCCTCCCGTCGTTAGATCATCAATTTGGCCTCATAACTCGATGCATGCCGAGACTAGCGATTCTGCGTGTCTAGCCGTTTTGGCATCGGGGAAACGACATTGTCGGGCCGACCAGTCAGTTCTATACGCGCCGTTCTATTCAATTGCACTCGCTCCTCCGACTTACATCGTACGATAATGATATCTATTCACTTCTTGCAACGGCACTCTTGAGCGAGTCTATTAATCCGCGCGTCAATGCGCGAAGAGTGGCACGTTTAGAAATGGCTGGCGCAAACCCGACTTCACAATATCGGCGGCAAGAACGTGCCTGAGTCGTCGAGATTCGGGTCGAGACTCGCGACGATGTCGCCGGTCGACGCGTGCCTCGACGTTGCCGTCTGCGTACTACTCGCCAGGGCGTGACTGCTCGCGCTGCCGTTTAGTTTGCTCTTCACCATCAGACCGCCGCCGCCGCCGCCGTCGGTGCTGTCGGCGCCCGCGGAGACCTTCTGCACGTACTTGCGACCTTTGTATAATCGGTACATCGTGTACGGCGGATCCTCCATCGTCGTCGCACGTTGCCGCGGCGCGCTGACGGTCACGCTCACCGTCTGCGGCGCATGTGCAGACTCCCGCGACGTCTCGACGCTCGTCGTCGTTGTGTTCGCGCTCGCGTTCACCGTCGACGACGCTATCGCCGACGAAGAGGAGCTCACGTGTGACGAGGACGACGATGTTAGCCACTCGTGGCGCATCGCCTCGTCGGGGGTCATACGCTTCTTTGGATCCCACCTGATGGCACATCAAGGCTCGTTTAAGAACAGAGAAATCACAAGATTTTAAGACTTTTAGAAAAATTTGCTGAATTTGATTATTCAGTTTATATGTAATATTTAGTTCATCGAATTCGATTCTCTCAACAAAGTATGGAAATTCTGGAATAATAGAATGCAGTGGAAGCGCTGCTGTATATTCGAGAACTTACTCGAGGCATTTGCTAACGAAGTTGACGAAGAGCGCGTCAGAGCACCGAAGAGCCATCGAAAGGTTCTTGCTACCTGCCCACCTCTTTTTGCCCTTGCTATTCGTCACGCATCGCGGACTTCCTTTTTGATCTGCAATGGTTTTAGAAATGGCACTTTGAGTGTCATCGCGCCCGCTTCTATCTTCAAGGGAACTCCAGCCCGGCATTCACTTACCGAAGAAAAGTCTGCGACGAGTTGCATGACTGATAATGTGATCCGGCGGCAGGCCGAGGACTTCCATAATGCAGGCGAGCTGTTCTATCTCGTCCTCGCCGGGAAATAGCGGGTATCCCGTGTACAGCTCGGCTAGGATGCAGCCCAGACTCCACATATCGATCGGCGTGCCGTAAGGAAGACCGAGAATTACTTCCGGACTCCTGTAAAACCTCGACTGTATGTACGTGTAGACGCGCTGATGACTGTAACACGACGATCCGAAGTCGATGACTTTAATCGAGCTGCTTCCCCGTTGCTTCAGCAACACGTTTTCCTATTAAAAAAAAAATTAAAATATAAAAATGAAAGGAATCTTAATACGATTAAAAACACGCGCGTGTTACTCACCGGCTTCAAGTCGCAGTGAATGATATTCTCTCGGTATAACAATCTCAGGCAGCTAATTAGCGAGTTGGCGAAACGACGGATTAAGCTCAGACTGAATCCTTGATAATTGTTCTTTTTGATTAGCTCATACAGGTTCAAGCTGTAACGAGACAACGAGTTTTACTCGACTCTGTTCCGGTTAATGAATTCGCGAGGAGCGCAGAGGTTATCTCGCCTGATCGCTCACCTCATTAGTTCAAAGCTGATACACAGGTGATTCCTGAAGTAAAAATATTCTAGCATGTGTATCACATTGTGCTGCGAGTTCGCCTCCAAGTCTTTCTTCCTGAGATGCTCCAAGATTCTCACTTCGATCAGCGCCTGATGATGGAATCTCTTTTTGTTCCTGCAAGGACAGTGAAAGACCGTTTTAAATAAAGAAACGACGCAGCGACTCGGAAAGCGGACGCATCCGCGGAAAAATGCCGCATCTATTGGTGCAATAACAATGCTCGTTGCATCGCGTTCTTTTTTTCTCTCGGATCGCAAAGTGAGTCATCGCGAGAGATGACTGTACTGTTTCCACGTACCTGATGATCTTGATGGCGATGTGCTGTCCCGTTTTGTGATCCAGCGCTCGAATCACCTGACCGAAGCTCCCTTTGCCGATCACCTCCAGTATCTCGTATCTGAGTGCACACAAGTTTCGCATAATTTAAATACGCGTGAGAAAACGACGTGACGATAAAGAAAAATATACAAAAATGCAAAAAGCGAGAAGTAAAAAGAGGAACGTTCGCGATATAAAGCCTCGTTTGAAGAGCGAGCTGTTTACGCGCGAATAAATTCCTCGTCGAGCACTTTTATTTATTTATTTCCTCCTTTTTTTCCCATGCAATTTGCGAGTATGTATTTTGATGAAAGGGCGCGTCGCGACGCGCGCGCGCGCGGCTTTCAACCGCAATTTCTCCGCGCGAGAGTAAACGACGCGACGCGTGGAATGCAATTGCGAGATTCCTTCGTGGTCGACCTGGCAAACGTGATCCGCGAAACAAGCAGCATCGGCAGTAACAATTAAGAAAAAAGGAAAGTCGGCGAAAGAGGGCAGATTCCTCTCACCTGTAAGAGATGTGATCGTGCAGGACCTTGTTGTAACTGCCGTTCTCGTCGTCGTAACCGCCGTTCTGGGAGGAGACTTCCTCGCCGTGAATCTTGTGGGCCGACAGACCCAGATACCAGATCTCCGAGTATTTCTCGATCTCGGCGCGCTCGAACTCCGTCAGCCTGGTGCCGTAATACTTCACCGCTTCCTGGGGTGTCATTGGCAATCTCCCAGCTATTTTTTCGCGAGGGAAATAACACGTATAGAGTGGATGAGTGTCTGAGAAGCGCTTCGCGAAAGCGTTATATAAATCTTCACAATAGCGGCTCGCAAATTCTTTTGCAACGGCAACAACACATTCGTCTCTGCGAGTTTTCTTTCATTAATATAGAGCGCTAAATTTTTCTTTCAATTATATCTTTCTAAAACTCTGTGCAAATACGTTCGGACGACGGCGGAGTGCAGATTGAGAACCGCCTCGACGCGGGATGTGAATGATATTTCTCGTATGTGCCGTAATCCTATATCGTATGCAATTCGCGTCACCGTAACGACGTTACACATCTTCACAAATGCGTATCCGCGGCCTCTTAAATATACATTCGGTCGACGACGTATTAAATGATAATAGCGGCGTACGCTTCCCACTTGCGCCATATAAGGCACCGCGATTTTCATGTAATCACAGTGTTCTCACGTACCGTATACTTCGGGAGAAGTAGCGCTGATGGGTTCGTGCAGCGGCATATTGTGAATGTTGTTGCTGGTGTTGTTGGAATTGTTGGCATTGTTGTTGTCCGATTTATCCACCCGCGTCGGCTTGGTGTTGAAGAAAGACGGCAATTTCTGGAACGTACAAAGGGATTTTGCTCCAGTTACACAGAAGTCAGTCGAACGTGTGTGTGTGTGCGCGCACTTTGAAAATTTATAACATCGACCCGGATAGCGTCGCTAACAATGTAGCGGGCAGATTTATTTGCCCACGCGTGCGATGACTCGAGTTTCCGCGGCGATAATTTACAATCAGCGCGTTTCTCAAGGGTGCGAAGGACGGTCGGACGTCATAATTTCATAAGGCGGCGCATCAGCGTTAATGACGAGAACGGTTGAACCGTTAGCGCCACGTCTTCTCTGAGAACGAAACGTAAATTAATTAAGTTATGCGAGCGACGTTTAATTAAATTCTCCGATAACAAAAGCCCCAAATTTATAAGAAAATTTGACACGAATCTTTGAGGAACAGCTCGCGTATTACGTCAATATGTCGAACGAATTCCCTTTAAAATATCTTCCGCGCGTCTCTCTTCGCCGCAATTCTACTGACGTGAGGGAATAAAAGCCGCAATTATCCTGCGTTCCCGGTTTTCGCGCAAAAATCGTTCCTCTTTTCTTCCCTCATCGTGAAAGCGGCTCGGTGCGAACTCTTAAAGAAAGTAGAACGCACGATGTGCATCGGCCGGCTTCGTCGTGCGCGCGCGTGTGTGACCGACACCCGATTTAACAAGTTTAATGACACCGAAGTGACCCGGACAATTATTTCTTCGCTGCGAGAGAGCCATTAAAGCGTTTCGTCGGCGAAGCGACGCCTTTCCGTCGACCAAGGGCAGTCACCGGTCGTGAACGCGCCTCGAATGACAATCAGCAGCGTCGCGCTGTTGTTCGCACCGGCGTCTGCCGTTCATTAGATTTCTTCACGCGTCTTTCCGCCGATGTTAATATTTATACCGGCGATCGATTTCGGGCATTGTTATCGGTAGCGAACATCCGGCGCCAAGAAATATATTTCGAGAAGATATATTCTAATACGCGAGTTTTGGTGAAACGTGGTTATTACGTCTTCTAGCAGAGACAAATAGGTCAAAATACCGAGATTTTATTTAAGATAAAACGTATAATGTGCTTATAATATCGAATAAAATGGTGATTTTATTTATGAGTAAAAATAAACGTGGGAATAACGTCGTGGAAAATACCGCGGTATTTAAATACCTTGGAAGCAGACACTTTGCAAGGTGGACACCGTGTTTACCTCGCCCTGGATATAGCGCTGTTAACATATTTATACGCGACATTATGAGAAAGTATCGAAATAACTAATGCACTCCGCGTGAATACTCAATAACTCCGCGTATCGCTGCGCGCGTAAATAACGTCTATTTTCAAGGCACGGCATATCGTGAATGTATGATTTTCCATACGTGAAATATATGGAGATACAAAAAGTGTACGTCTTCAAATACGCTGGAGAGATATAAAAAAACGATTATTTCACCACGATGAAGCTTGATCAGTCTAAATAGATCTCGTCGCGAAAGCGTTTGATCTATGTTCTATACGAAGGCGCAAATTACTACTCGCAACAACAAAGAACGGCACGATTTGGCGCCAATTGATCAGACCTAACGGCAATTAAGGCCAGACGAATGTTGGCATAAATTTCTATTAAAGGGTCGCCCGCTCGGTTCACAAGCGCTCTCACGCGTCCTTGTTGTCTCTTCTAGTTCTACATCACTTTGCTTCCACGCAACCGCATCGTAGGATCCTTCCTCAGCGCAATTCGATGTGTGGGAAGCATTGATTTGCAACGAGCGAGTCTTGTAAACGGAATTCTTTTCAAAACTTATAAACTATTCAAAATCTTTTCAGAATTCGAAACAAATCGCAATTTTCCATAAAAGAAAAATGCCGTGAAATTGGCCCTCCAGATTTTTCAAATAACCGTTTTCACCGTTTTAAAATCGCTTTTTCTAAAATCCATAGAGAACTCTGTAACTTTTCGCGGGACATTCAAAATTCTTATTTTTTCGAATTACGAAAAAATGGAATCAGGTTTACATAGTTTAAATTCTCAGTGTTAAAGTTCAGATCTGGAAATAAATCGACGTGCAACGGCAATGCTCTCTCTCTTTCTCTCTCGTCCGATCTGACATAATGAAAAATTATTATCGTTGCATAAACACGCGGACCGGTGATACGCAGATGCGTTTCGCGCGGAGCCGGAGGGGAGGTGATCGGCATAAATAAAAAGTCGCGAGTGAATAACCGTACGGAGGCTCGTATAAATTGTAATCTCATATTTATCTCGCTCTGTTCTCGCTCGATTTCTCTCTCTCTCTCTCTCTCTCTCTCTCTCTCTCTCTCTCCCTCCTCCCTCTCTCCTTCTCGCGTCCGCGCCTGATCGATCACAGCCTCTCTCGCGGCTCCTCCGCTTCTCTTTTCGTCGACGACGTAAACTCTACGCTGCCAACCTCGACGCATGCTTAACGCACGCATAAATAACATACGCGCGATTCGCGCCGCCAAGAACTCACGTAATGAATTCGCCGCCGAGCCAAGCCGCCCGGTCCTCGAAAATCCGCCAGAGACGCAGAGACGGGGCAACCTTGTACAATAACGTAACATTGTTTCGCGGTTCGAGATTCGAAAATAGATCGCCGCGGTTTTTCAGAAGATCGGCGGTTAAACTAAACACGGTAAAGGGGAGAGAAATTTTTCCCAAGGACGCTCGGTTGCGGCCGGTGCACCGTGCCTATCTAACGATCGCGGACAGGCATGCACAATATAATCCCCTACGTATCCCAGTTACGTATGCGGTTTACCTTGTGACATCTCCCAGCCGCGGCCGCCTTTCTAATGCCGCGTGCTGCGCCAACGCGAAACTGCAGCTGCTCGCAGCGATTACGTATACACAACAACGGGCCGAGCTGTACCTACGCGCGTACTTAGATACGTGGGACTCGGCGTGTGTGGGCGTATCGGTATCTCGGAAGCACGACGGTGGAAAACGGACGTCACTTGGCGTCGGCTGTGCAGAAAACGGGAGGAGCTCATTAACCTGCACGTACGATTCCCCGTCGCCCGCGTAGAGCAATCGGAGCGCCGTTGCGACGTAAGCGCGCCTTGAAAAAGCGACTTAAATGGACGCGGATACAAACAGCGGCGCATTTTCACCGCGCATTTAAGCGCTAATTAAAGGATCGCGGTGCATCGTGGTAAAGTACGCTGCGCTGTACTTTCACCGTGCGATACAGATTTTTCTCGAGAAATCAAAAATTAGCTGTGAGATACTGAAAGTTGAGCGACTTGGATCGATGAAATTTTCAAGATACAAATGGCTAATTAATTTTCCTTCCTGTGTTGGAATAATTTTAACAGAATCTACGACACATCTGGCATGTGTACTCAAATCGTATAAACAGAAGTCTCGTGCGCGGAAATCACTAGATACGCATATCAACATATCTCATCCACCCACGAATCGCACGCGTTTGTAAAAGCATCGGCTGTGTATGCCCGCTTCATTCAGTAAATACGCGGACAAGTACTCTCGATGGGCAAAAGCGGATTCAAGATCGCTTGTACACGAGCGGAACTCCGTTCACTCGGCATTTCGCGTTGAAACGGTTTATTCGAAAAAAATGGAACACAAATAATTCTTCCGTTTTGTTATCGTTCTTAGGGAGAGTGAACAAAGCTGCACTTCCGCAGTTTTCGAATGAGGCTCATTAAAACTTCCGGCGAGTGTTTCGGTGGACGCCGGCTATTCGGAATCCCCCGTGCGGCAAATTCATATCAATTAATTCCAATTACGGCGAAGCCAAGGCAATTAAAAGAAATGCATATCGCGCCGTCGAAAATGTAGCGCGCGTTCCGGTTTTCACAGGACACACATTTCCATACGAAATGTTTTAACTAAAAGCAGGAAAGGATGTCACTTTTGACGATGCGTAGTTTGGCAAATGCGGTATTGCAAACCAATTCGAATCCATTCACGCGCAGCGAGAAGAAAGCTGCTCGGTTAATAATCAAATTAGAGCGCGTCAATGAAAATTTTCATGCGAAATGTTCGCGATCGGACGAACGAAATTACGGGCGGTAAAAGTTTCTTCGACGTTCCGTTACGGGAACTTAACTTGCAAACAATTGTTCAAGCTATCTTTACAGTCGTGAACTTAGAAAGTGTTAATGTTGCAAGGATGTATCTTACAAAGTGGGAAAGTGAAGCTTGCTCATGCGCGGTTATAAATCACTGACTAATCATACATTAACGACTTAATTTTGCGCGGCTATTAATAGAATCCAAAATATACGCGCGGCGCGCAACGTCCTCGCGGGAATCTGAGCTACGGGCAGCTATTTGAACAGGTGCGACTCGTAACCGTGATTTGGCACGCTATCAATTTGCGGTCCCGCCCGGTGATTTATTGCTCACAAATCTTGGGCTTCGTTGGGTCACAATTATAAAAAACCGAGGCGCGAGTTTGGCATTATTCAAACGCCTCGACATTTGAAGCGCGCGCGACAACGTGTTTCGGTCAATCCACTTAAATCGCGCGAGCTAATGGAGCGTTCGATGCCTCGCGCGCATCCGAAAATATCCCCGAATTAATTAATCCTGTTTCTATGTTTATCGGCGCGTCAGCGAGTATCAACCGAGAGAAAGTCATCGCGATAAAATTCTTTTTTTTTTTACAATACGTCTGGGAAAAAAATCTGAAACAATTTATGTTTTCGTTTCACGCGCGAAATAATCAAAGCGACGGGAACAAAAAGAAATCGCTTTGAGAAGTTAACGAGTTAATTATTAAGTTAATGATTTAAAATTGGAGTCGGACGTGTCCGAGTAATCTTCGCATTTACCGTTAGCGTTTTAATTAACGAAATCCGTCATGCGTTATATTTCTAATACGCTTAACGCATCGATCGCTTGCAATTACCAATTACGCGGAGGATTTATTAACTATCGTCGATTGCCGGTTCGGTTGAAACGCGAATAAAAAGATTCCGCGTATCCCTCTCGTTAGAAAAGGTCAGATGTTTGAACTTCTGGAATTATTAGTTCGATT